AAAAAAAACGCTAAGTGAGTACTTTTAGACTTATTTTAGTGCCTTTAAGTGTTTATTGATGATGTTAAGGCATACTGCATGTTGTTCTGCTTAAAATTATCTTTAATTTGATGTATGACATATTTATGTAAGTCAATAACAGAAATTTTAACAAATTTTTGAAAATGTGTATTTTTACACTTTTCCTGTCAGAAAATAAAAATGACTAAAAATCATTATTGTTATTTTTTATTTTTTAATAACTTAAGAATTAATAGATCTGGCTGCTTGAAAAAAATTGGGCTTAAATATTGTAAACTTTGGAGCACATATACCAATTCCTGGAATTCTCTGTTGATTATTTTAGAAAATATAGGTCCTTAAACATGGGACTTTTTCACAAGGTAAAAAAATCCATTTTTGGTCGATTTTCAGCAAATTTGAAAATCGCATAACTTTTTTGTTTATTGAGATAACTACCTGAAAATAAGTGGCCTATATCTTAGAATAAAAAGTTCTGTCAGGTGAAACTCACCAAATATGTCTGCTATGTATAGAAAATTTTAGTTTGGACTACCTACACTAATCTCAGAAATCACCCTAACCCCAAAACTACGTCACACTTTCCAAACTAAATTTTTTAAAACAAAATTAACAACTGATTAAAATTGAATCTAAAATGTCCAATAAATATATATAATTTATATTTTATATTCCTACCACCTATCGCTTGCCGTGTGCCTATGCCTGTGCCATATTAAAACAAGTTGTCTTTATATTTTATTTATAAATTCACTATTTTCTTAAATAATCTTAAAATCTTTTTAATTGCGTCTTTGCGTTTTTAATTGGGAAAACGAGAAACTATAAAAAAAATATATATATCTAAAAAATGATAAATATAATAAATGGGGTACATTATAAATAAATTTTAGGAAAATGATCTGAAAAAAAAAAAATAATGGCAAGCCGCCGGATTGGTGCCGAAACCCGGGATCGAACCAGGGACCTTTAGATCTTCAGTCTAACGCTCTCCCAACTGAGCTATTTCGGCTGCCATTAGAAAGTGTTTCAAAAACAATGTCTACATTGCTAATGTTCTAATTTCGGAAAAGGTTGTGGTAATAACTTTTTGGTCAATTTAATCATAATTCATACATCTTATTTATTTTTAGAATTTGAATGGTCTTTATTTATTACGAATTTAGGTCCAATGCAATGGAAGGTGGCGCTGCTAGACATTCATTATTTATTGATATAAGTCATTGAATATTGTCATTGCGAAGCTTTTAATTTATAATTATAAAATATTACTTCAAAAAAAAATTGACAGATGAATGCGTTTAATGGAATTTTACTTATCATGAAATAATTTTCTTACCTTAAAATTTAAGTGTAAGGTCGTTGTCAAAATCGGTTGGCTAACAGTCAAAGCCCAATGGGAAGTCAATAGTGTAACGCCATTGTTGTTTACTCCCGTTACTCATGACAACAAGGAAGGCTGCGTCAACCAAAGTTTGTGTAATCCGCAAATTAGAATTAGACATTCACAAATGACTGCACGTGAAATATTTAAGAATTTCAAGATAATAAAAATATATGTTATTTTGTTTGTTGCTTCCATATTTATAAAAATTATGTTGCAATGTGTTTTCTGTTTGCCTTTACTTTCAAATTGTAGGCTATTTTGTCAGCTAAACTAAACAAAATTAAAATCAAAACTACAGTGAATATAATATACTATATTTATAATAAATAAAGTAAGCAAAGCTAGAGTAACTAATCAATTCAACTACTCAGCTCATCCTCATTGACACGTGACACATTCACATCCATGGCTATGGACGATGACAATTAATAAATGTCAATAAATATTGTTTTATATTTATATTATTAACTAACACTAGCAGGAGGTTAAATATAATTAATGATAAGCTGATTATAGTGTGATAGGCCTACATTTAAATCTACTACTAGACTGGCAACAATGATAATAGTGTAGGCTTAGAGTGTAACAGTAAGTGTAGGCCAAAAAAAATCCTCCGTTTTTTTTAGGAAGAGGGGGCGGGGGGCAGGGTTGCTACCCGTCCTTAAATTTACGGACAGTCCGTAAAAATTTGATCTGATTCTGACATGACTTGTCCGTAAAGGGCGCAAGTAGTTTAAGATGTGATCTAAAAAGGATACATTGTAAGAAAGTCTTTTGAACCGTAACAAAGCGGGAAATCTTATCGTTTGTCATTGCAGGCTCAAGCTTCAACCGGGCATATGAGATGAATATGTTAATATCATAATATGTATGAGATAGATAGCAGATATCGACTTAAAACATCGTCGAAAGACATTAGTTGTTTTCATGTTTAATTAAAATTGTGTCCGTTAATGCCATTAAAAGTTATTGGTAAAAAACACGTTTGAAAAAGTTTATAAAATTTTAAACTAAAGCTTAGCATATATAATAATTAATATATTCATCAATTAATTTTAATTTTACGATTGTGTAGCATTGAAGATGACAGAAATGTTCAATTTAACATCACTTATATGCACGGTAGAAATGTTCGATTTGGCATCAATTAAATTACCGGTATATGCATGGCATAGCAACCGACGCAGAATTATAGTGCCTGGATTAAACAAAACCCATCAACCTCCATAGTGACATTATGAATCGAACAAGCAGTTCGCCAATATTACTTCATTCATTTATGAAATTAATTCCAGTACCTTATAAATAAAATTTTAAATACATATTATCTAATGGAAAACAACATAATTCACATGTTTTAAAAATATGATAAACGATTTTAAAAATTATTTTGTAGCTTTTCAGGAAATAAATATAAAGAATATAGTGGATGTCAAGTCTCAAAGGACGTTTTACATTTACATGCATTACGCGGGAAACAAAAGCCAAAGTTTATGGTATGACAATGGTATCCCCTCCGCACCTCCGTTTATACGCCAGTGATTCCGGTGCTCCTTGTTTTTCTTTTTTTTTTTTGTTGTTTTTTTTTAAAAATACAATACCCTCACAAAAAACATTTTAAAAATACTAAGCATCAAACCTGCCAAACAAATGAGAAATCTGTTCCAGAGATATCGCGAAATTGTATTTATTTATTTATTATTATTTTTCTTCTGGTTAAAGAAATAAGTAAGTGTAAGGATGTCGACTTCAACACAATAATCAAAAGTGAAAAGTTATTTAAAGAAAGAAGTGTATATAGCCTACCACGATGGTGATATTCAACACTAGAATACTTAGATTTAGATGCATGGTTAAGATCTTACATTTAAATAATCTTGTTGGATGCGCATCATTCGCAAAAATAAAGCAGTGCTTGTTCAATTGCAGTGCAAAACACACAAAACACGCGTAACCAAAACATAAACCAAAAATACCCTAAAGAAACAAAGCATGGCTTTTATAATGATTATATGTTCGGTCTTTGGTCATTTTAGGTCTTTTAGAGTATACGGGGATTCATAATGCAATATTGTAACTTAAAAGGATTTAGTTATTATTCAAAGTTCTTGAGATCTCGTGATCAGTGATAAAAAATTTAATCAGTGAGGCTATGGTCATGGTATTTTGCTTAAAGAGGATATTTAGCAACACAGGATATAGTTTCAATAATTCACTTCAGAACTCTGATCAAAATTCCACAATATCATTTAAAAAGTTGTAATGGAAAGGCTTCGTAATGGAAATTCGGTAACCATTATCATCAACTGTTCAGGGTTTGAGGAGGAACTTGAAGTTTGTTGAAAGTTGCAACATGTTTTAATTTATGTTTTCTCACGAACAGGTGAAAAATCTAAAGCAGATAAAGGTAAATATATTTTGATGCAACCTAATAGATAGTATTTTCAAAAAATAAAAATTCCTATGTTTTATTTTGATATTGATTGTTGTCATTTTTGCTGAGACTCAACTCAGCTGTCAGTGGTCAGTGGTGTCAGTGACTGAGTGTCAGCAGTAGTAAAATTATTAATGCCCAGGCCCAGTAGTAGGCGTAGGCCAGTACTTAGTGTACCTATTACTAGTAGTAGTAGTAGTAAGTGGGCATGTATTATTGTCATTATTCATTATTGATTTCATTGAATGATTGAAATAGATTTAATGAATCATTCAATTTCAATGATTCATTTAAAAAAATTAATTGAATTAATATTGAATCAAGGATCAACCATCCTTTTTGGGTGAATCATGTTGAGTCATTGCATTATCAATCAATATATTTGATTGATAATGAAATGATATTTGATTCACCCAAATATTAGGCACTTCAGTATCACCAGGCGAAAACCGGGTGTCGTGATCTCATTTTCAACAGGGCGACCTCCACTTTTTAATTTACAGCAAGTGTCTTGTTTTGGATTTTTTGCTGATTTAAACTGATTATAGACAAATATGCACATTCTATTTCAGCTTTTTTCTTAGAGTAGAGATATTGTTTTATCATTGGACACTTTTGTTCTAAAAAGAATTTGAGGTCTCAACTTTGAAAATTGAAGGTAAAATAATGCTAACTTTACTCATTCATATTTTTTCAATGGAACATGTTTGTCAGGGCAACCAAAATGGCGGCCATTTAAAAAAAGCAACAAAGGAAGTGCAAACACACATCTTCTAAAAATGGGGAGGGGAAAGAAAAAGAATGTGCTGTTTTAGCAAGGCTACTTTTACTTACTGGCAGAAATGAAAATAGCAACAAAATGTTTAAATTTAATGAAATAATTTCTTGGTAAACATTATAACTTTATTGTATCCCTCTAGACATGCTGCAAGAAGTGTCAATGACCTACAGTCGCTCCTTTTACTGGTGTAATTTCAGCCGATACATTAATTTCATGGTGAACACAGCAACTTTAGTGTATCCCTCTAGATATGCGGCAAGAAGTGTCAATGACCTGTTGTTGCTCCCTTCCTTGAACTAAAACATGTTTGCACACTGGTAATAAAAGTTAAAAATGGAGAGAAACAATACAAAATTTTTTTTAAATAATGAAAACCCAACTGACATTTTCATAGAATACCGGTACACTTTTACACACTTGATTGCAAGTACCACCAAAAATAAAATCCAAAAGTTGTCAGTAAAATCAATACAATACCCATTTTACAAAATGACGGAAAATTTAAATATTATAATTAACCGTCCAAGGAAATTATAATTTCAAAATTCCCTTGGCATATTAATATTTCAAAAAAGAAAAGTTAACTCTATTAACAATCCAAGAATAAGCACAACGGAGAGTACCCTACAGAAAAACTCAAAATGGCGCAGATTGCATAAATTGACCGCCAACCCTTTTTTAATTAGTATTTAAATAATTTAATCCACTTTTCTCAACAGCTGACATAAGTCTGAAGAGATGTAATCGCTAAAGTAAAGAGGAAAAAAAAATTATATTAAGGCAGTCTGCTAAAAAATGCTTTCATCTTGTTTACAAAATGGGGTTAGCAGACCTGTTTACGTTTACAATTTTGGCGTACAATGTACAATTTTAGAGGTGTATGCATTATTTGTACTGTATGTTTATTTTTTGCTATAAATACAAGGTATTGAATGATTGTGTGATGATATTGTACAATTTTAAGAGTTTGAGGGTAAACAGGTCTGGGATAGTTTGCAAGGGCTTTATTTTGTAAAAAAATAATGTATGTTTTACAATTGACTTAATGCTCTCCTCAGAACTGCAATCAATAGCGGACATGGAATGAACCTTTTCACAATGACCCATAATATTAAGTTTTCCTTGCTACATACAGAAGTGCAGCACAGATTGACAGATATGCTAAACAAGCAGTTAGACCCCATGTTCTTATGGCTTTATGGTTTAACCAATATTTGCATGTTGAAATCATTGCTAAATTATATCTTTTCTTCATGTTCTACATTGATTGAAACGTCTTGACTTTTAAATAATAATTGCAGGTAGCTAGCTACTTATTTATTTATATTGTCCAAAAATTATTTTTTTGAATTAAAATTATTTCCAGAAATGATTCACCGCTTGTCTGAAGAAGTCAGGGGAGCACTAAGGACGGGTGTTGCCCTTACCAGTTTTGCTCAAGCAGTTGAAGAATTAGTTCTAAACTCGATTGATGCTGGAGCAACCAGTGTGGCAGCTCGAGTTGATCTCCAGTCTTTCAAGATTCAGATTGTAGATAATGGAGCAGGAATTACTCAAGAACAGTTTCCTCTTATTGGTGAAAGGTTTGAAAATATTAATTATTATCACTTTGCTTTGACTGTTTGTATTTACTGCAGATATTCAGGACTTAACAGATACACGGGAGCTTAACTGCATTTTGCAATAATGCATTATTTTATAGGTTATACTAAAAATTTTGGTAACATGATAACAATTTTACAAAAATCATAAAGTTCTCTTTAATGACATAACCAATCAGTTTGCTTTAAAAAAAAAGTAAATCATTAAAGTAAAAAATTTCAGTTATTCAACTTAAATATTGTTTTGCAGCATTACTTATTTGGGGTTTATAAAGAGGGTTTATTTTGTTTTTACAGTGTTTGTTTTATTTAAAATGAAATATAAGAACAAGGTATGCTAAACTTGAATTAAATAGACAGGACAAAAGAAATCTTTTGTCCTATTAATTCAAGTTTAGCATACCTTGTTCTGATATTTCATTTACACAACTTGCATGCAGAAAATCAATTATTATCTTGTATTCTTTTATTTAGCATTGTTTGCAGTTCAATTAAAGGGAAATTAATTTTTAAAAAGCCAAACATGTTAAGGTTTCCTTTTTATCGAAAAATATATGAGAGTGGAGGAAAAAAAAAGTATTTAAAAACAAAAAAGGTGTATTTTATGAGTTAAAATTCACTCAAGGGATCCATCAGTTTTTGTATTTTTATTTGTGATTTAAAAAAAACTACATGGAAAACTAACATGATTTTTAATTTTTTTCATCAGATATGCCACGAGTAAATGTAACAGTTTAAAGGATTTGGACAACCTTAAATACTTTGGCTATAGGGGAGAAGCACTGGCTAGTTTGAGATCAGCAGTCACATTTTTGGAAATAATTTCAAGACCTCGATCTTCTGGAATAACTTATTGCAAATGTTTTCACAATGGCAAGCCTTCAGACATTATGGAATCTTCAGTACCTCGTCCTTCAGCTGGCACCACGGTCACAGCCCATAATTTATTCTATAATTTACCTGTTCGACAAAAACACCTCAATGAAGGGCTCGAGATGGAAAGGATACGGTTTCATGTTGCAGCCACAGCCCTTATGTGGCCCCATATAAGCTTCAGTTTACGGGATGATTCAGTTGGTCACGTTATTCTTCAGACATGTAAATCCAACAGCGTTCCTATGTCTTTATCTACAATATTCCCAGCAGCCAAATCTCGGAACTTAAAAGAGCTGTCCATCAGTGCGGGGGAGTTTAAAATATATGGCGTTGTCTGCACAGACAGTTACAGCCGCAAAGATTTACAATTTGTTTTTGTCAACAAGAGACTGGTCTTGAAGTCAAGCATTCACCATCAAATGAACAAAATTCTTGGTCGGTCGCTTATTTTGAGGAAGAAATGTATCTCCTGGGAGGAGAAAATAAGCTCCGGGTTTGTGAATTCTAGCAGCCCTGTGAAGCAAGCGGATAGATATGGAATTTTCGTCATCAATGTAGAGTGTCCCTACAGTGCATACGATATTACATTTGAACCAAGGAAAACTCTAGTCGAATTTAAGAACTGGCCAAGACTAATTCACCTAATCCAAGATTTGGTCTATGGGTTCTTGAGGAAGGAAAATTTGTTGTCATTGTCAGTTTCACCTCCGACCAAAGACGATAGAGGGAATGAAAAAGATGAAGAGCGTTATCAAAGTGATGTGGATGATAAAAGAGAAGAAAGTGATGATGGAAAATTTTCAAAGGATATCAATTTGAATCAAAATGATAAAAAATCTATAAACTACACAGATACATCAGCAGTGTCAGGGGCAACATTTTTGTTCACAGATGTTCCAAACGCTTTGTTTTCAAAGACTGTTTGCAGAGCAAAGGTCACAAAAGATTGTTTAGATCCTAACAGATCTATGCCAGTAGCGGCTAAGCAAAATGTTACATCAAATGTTGACATTAGTTTAGGAGCATCTCAAAAGTTAAAAGGAAATTATTTATTTACACATTATATTACCGGTAATGAAGAACTCATCCCAGGTCAGTCACAAACAGAGAGCAACAATTTACACAATGGAGAAATTTATTCAGAACAACCAAATGGACACTCTGAATGTGAAGCACACAAAACTGCACACAATATATGTTTTAATGCCCTACAAGGAGGTTCTAGGAATTTAACAACTTTTCAGCATAGAACCAAAAGACATCAAGGAGCAAATGAGATTGGTGACCAAACTGACTATTCTGAAATACCTTTCCCATCATCTGGACTTAACCAGGTCAATGATCCTGAAGACATGTATGTCAGAAAACGAAAGGGCGATCAAGTAAGAGAAATAGCTCTGGGTAAATCAGTTCATTATCATTCGACACTGAAAAGGCTGAGAGGTGGTGGCGAAACAGTGCTTGGTAACACAAAGGCAGGCGAAATAATCACAAACACATTACAGCAGCTGCGCCAGTCGGCACGAGAAGCTGTGAAAAGTCTCGGGGACTTGTACAAAACACCGGTGGCCCAAAGGGTGGATCCGGAAGATGAGCTTCACAGAAAGCAGCCAAGGATGGAAGTGAAAATCAATCAGGCCAATACCAATACAAATACCAATATAAATATCTCTAGATATGAAACAGCCCATACAAAAACAAGACATCGTGATGATTATGTCTCTAGTCACTTATCACAGGAAGGAAATAGGCTGAGAGGATCAAACAAATTTGGGCCTTTGGGTCATAGTGACAGAGGTGTGGGTCATAGTGACAAGGGTCATAGTGATAAGATGAGGATGGGTCATATTGACAAATGGGTGGGTCATTGTGATAAGATGAGGATGGGTCATAGTGACAGGGGGGTGGGTCATAGTGACAGAGAGATTGATCACAATGACAGAGAGTGGAGTCATAGGGAGAGAGAGATTGTTCATAGTGACAGAGGAATAATTCATAGTGACAGAGGGAAATGTCCTGGGGACAAAGGAATAGGCCAAAAGAGATCATTTAAGCAGAGTGTAAGTCAAGCAGCAAAGTTGTCCAAACTAATGAAAGGCCAGAAGGTAACTGGTGATGTGCACTTGGATGAACCCGACACACGAAGCTCAAAACGTTCTGCATTACTGAAAACTTTTACATACAGCAAACAAATGCAAGATGATGACTTTTATCAGACACGGCTTGAGACACATTCAGACTCTTCCTATGTTACTGATACTGATTCAGTATATGTTAAAAATATGCACTGTCTATCTGAGTTATCAGCCAACAGTAATGAGAGACATTCTCCTATCTCAGCAGCTAGCAGTAATGAGACACATCCTCCTATCTCAGCAGCCAGCAGAAATGAGAGACATTCTCCTATCTCAGCAGCCAGCAGTAATGAGAAAGATCCTCCTATATCAACAGTCAACTGTAATGAGAGATATTCTCCTATCTCAACAGCCAGCAGTAATGAGAGATATTCTCCTATCTCAACAGTCGGCAGATCCAGTCATGGCAAAAACACAAGTGATGATTGGACATCTCTGAAACAAATCCCCAGTGAAAATCTAAACAAGGGGAGGCCATCATGTCAAGAGAACTGTTGCTGTAAGACTGGAACAAAAGGCCACGAGAAGAAAAAATGTTTACCTTTTAGCACGTATCCCAACTGTAAACACAAGACACGGGTTGACGAAGTTGGCACACCGAGAGTCTCCGTTGTTTTAAGCCTGCCCATTGAAGACGTCGGGTCTGAAACCATCATGCCAACAAGTTTAGTTTCAAAGTGCCCGACTACTACACCATTCCCCTTCAGCGTGTACACACCCCAGGGTGTAAGCATAGCCATGCCTCAAATTTCATTCAGAAATACTCCAGAGAGCATGAGCCACGGTTGTGATATAAGATCTGTTTCGAACCCTTGTCAAGATGTCAATAAAGCTGTTCAACTTTCTCAAGGTTGTGCTGTCAAGAATGTTTGCTCAAGCTCAACACAAACTGATACTGTAAGCGATTCCCAGGGATTCCACCTGGGTAATCATATACTGGTGGATGACTCTATAGACTCTTTGAAGGGCACGGTACCTGATTTGGTGGCCGTGGACATTTTAAACACACCCATGATGTCTTACAGTTATCACGGCAAGGGCTCAGAAAATGTCTGCTCAAATTCTGTGTTCGCCTCAGGGGGGTTCAGCGTAAAGTTGTCTTCATCCTCAAAAGAGCAGAGTGAATCCACTCCTGTAAACACATCGGATGACATCGGAGGCGCAGTGAACCCCAGTGAGGAAATGAATGAGCTGCCTTGCCTTGTCATGGTTCGGAATGCAAATGGTCTCCCCATTGAAATCTCATGTGTTGATGACACACATCAAACGGTGGACAGTACTAGCATACCAATGACCTTGGTCTGCTCAGCAAGCCAAACTTTGACTTGCACAGTTGGTCAATCATTGAACTGTGCTTTTAGCCAACCAGTGGATTCTACTTATGATCAATCAAATGCTCAGCACTCATTTGGCCAATCAAATGCGCAGCACTCATTTGGCCAATCAAATGCGCAGCACTCATTTGGCCAATCAAATGCTCAGCACTCAATTGACCAATCAAATGCTCATTACTCAAATGACCCATGTCCAGATTTTGAGTGTATTTTTGGAGATCAACCTGGCACAGATATTCACCAGGACCTAAACTCTGAGACATCACATACTCCGTTAAAAACACTTACCACAACATCCTCACTTCCAGAACTTGAAAAATGTTTATCTTCTAGTAATGAAATAACTTCAAATCAGTGTACGCATAGTTGTTTGATTTCTAAAAATGAAAATGCAGTTATGGAGATATCCCAAAAAATTAAAAAATTCCCTCAACTAGTAGCAAAAGTTCAAAGGTTAAGACCCGAGGTGAGAAATAGTGAGCTTTCTACTGGAAATTATTGCCATCATTTGGTTGATCCAAAGCTAACAGAATATAATTTTGTCACATACGAGCCTAGAATCTCACAGATTTCAAGATTATTAAATTCGGGTAACAGCTCATATGAATGTAGCACAACCGCAGAACCCACCAGTACTTACTTCTTAGATAAATGTCAGTCAGTTCAAGGTGATGCTGTAAGTAATGGCATCCACAGCGCTGCATCCATCAGCCCTCTTCATGCAGCTACACAAAGTCTAATTACCGGTATCACAGTTGTGAAAGAATCACATTGTCAGAATACTGATACAGTAACTCATTTGCCTAAGGAATGGGATAAAGTTGCTGATCAGGAGGATGATTCTGAACACAGTGACTCACAGTGTAGCTCTGAAGAAATAAACAATGTTTGCTGTGCCGCCACCTCCAACACAATTGCCTCTAATACTTGTAGTACTGACAGCGTGCCCTGTGCTCAACAACATCAGAGTTCTGCCATTAGTTTGTCTGACAGTAGTGGAGGCTCCGTTTCAATCTTTGACTACATAACTGAAGAGAGAGCTTGTCCGTTAAACACTGGACAGGTACAAGCTGCAGATGTGGAAGTTAACGTGTCCCCAATCGCTGAACAACAAGTGAATAATGGGTCAGAGTCTCGTTTTGGTAACACTGGAAATCTGAAGACTCAAACCGATATTCAATCCTCAAATAATTTAGTGTCCATTTCAGAAAACGAGCCAGTGTCCGAAACAACCATCTCTATCAGTAACATTTACAATGATAATGAATTGACACATTCCACACAAACGCGGTCAAGGAAGAGAAATGCATTACCAGGCACAGCTCTACGTGACAGCAATATTGCTGGATCCCAGGTAAATGACTTGTCACCACCACTACTAATGCAAAAAAACTCTGATGGATTTTTACAAACAAATCTGGTGTGTTTAGAAGTCGCTGGTTCATATCATGAGAGTGAGGATCATATTGAATATATTAGTCATTGTAAAGAACTTGTGTCACAACCTGACCGGTTAGACCCGCCAGCAGTTTGTCATGCGCAGGACATCAGCCATGTAAGCGTCGCGGAGGCTGACAACCAAAGAGGCCAACTTCAGACAGACCTTGAACAACAAGGTGGGAGTGAAAGTAGCCGTACACCTTGGGCCAGAAGGGCCATTGTATCTGTCAGTAGAGCCCTGGGTCTTGGAGATCATAAACCTCAGCCACTGAAGGTGCTGAGAGAACACTGCCAGGCGAGCCTCACCAAGGGAGAACACTCTGATGCACAAATACCAACAGAAGTTGCCCCCCTTGGCCCTGAGTTAGTTCAGAATCTCAATACACACTGCAACACTCCGGTCCAAAGTCTTACATCCTCACTCTCCCAAGCCCATCATGGGACATGGTCATCAGATCGAGCCAGCTATGACAGTGAACTAATCAAAAGCAATGTCATGCACTGGCAAGAAATTTCTGACAGTATTTCTGGTTGGTGCCTGTGTTTTTCTATCTTGTCTTTTTTCATTCTACTGTAACTAATTAAATATTTTACTATCTGTCACATGTTAACATGCTTTGGCATAGCATTGGTGGGTGCTAGGGAAGCTTTTGGCATAGCATTGGTGGGTGCTAGGTAAGTTTTCAAAAAAAGTAAAACTAATCATACCAAATGTGAGTAATATTATTTTTTACACAAAATACTTCATTAATACATCAATGCATCATAAATGCACCAGTATTTTCTTCAAATACAATACATAATTGGGGGAGGTGGGGTTCACCAGGATCGTTGTTGAGAAATACAGTAAGACATTAATGATCGAGACTTATTGTGGTTGACACCTTCGTGATAGTTGACCTAACAGGATTTTCGAATCTTAAGGAGACCCTGGTATATAGAGTCAAGTAAATTGGATTAAAAAAGTATCAATAAGTCTTAGGGTAACTGTTTTATTGGTTAACTGAAGAGAAACAAAAGTAACAGCTGCTTTATTAAAAACCAACAAAATATGCATGTATTTCTAGTCACATGAAGTACTGTACAAGTAATTATATGTGGAAGTAGCCTGTCATCCATGTGATGGAAATAATGAGGTCAGAGTTAACCTTGTGACTTGTGAAAAGTTACTGTCATGCTGGGGCCCATGAACGTTTTTATTTTATTTTATTTTTTCTCATGTTTTGTGAGTTCACTTTAAATCACATTTTTTTTCCTCAATAGGCGAATCATACCTTCCAACGCTCTGGTTTTTCGACATCCAGATTATTATTGTCTTACTGTATTATATTATCCCAAAAACCTTATGTGTCATGTAGTTCATTAAAAAAAATTTGATTTGATTATCATGTGATATTAAATGATGACAGGTAGAAGATTGTACATCAATAAAGAATCTGGTCACACTCTTAGTGAGGATCAATGGACAAAGATTTCTGCTCAAGAACCAGTGCTGGATAAATCTGGTAGGTATAACCAGTGCTGGATAAATCTGGTAGTTATAACCAGTGCTGGATAAATCTGGTAGGTATAACCAGTGCTGGATAAATCTGGTAGGTATAACCAGTGCTGGATAAATCTGGTAGGTATAACCAGTGCTGGATAAATCTGGTAGGTATAACCAGTGCTGGATAAATCTGGTAGGTAAAGAATAAGTGCTTGATAAATCTGGTAAACTTTCAATTGAACAGCAGAGAATTTTATATCTTCATAAAGTGGGTTGCTTTCCCACACGGGAATCTTTCTTTGGGACTTATTGCACATTGGTGTTGGGATCCTTAATGTGGGTGCATTTTTAAATTGTCATGAGTGGGTACATTGTTCAACTGTCATAGGGTGGGTGCATAGTTCAACTGTGCTACTGAAATCAATGCTTGTTTTTTGAAAACTTGAATTACTTTTGTTTAATCCCTTCACCTTATTATCTTAGTAAAAAGCCCAAATATTTTAAATTTAAAACCTTCAAGGTAAATGTATGTTTGCATTAATTTCAATCAATGCTGTTGAGTCAGGTGTAAATGAGTTTCAGGTATATTTGGCCAGAGTTAACGTCATTAAAATTTCAGTATTACTGTTGAAAATTGTACTGATATCATTATTTGGCTTATTTTGACTGCTGTGGATAACAGGCTTTGTATAATTTTATAAATGTGATTTAGAGATGCAGATTCTGAAACCCTGATTTTGAATGTCCATAGCTTGTTTCGGAAATTATTTTATTAGTTCCATTATAAAATTTACCTAAAGATTTACTACATTAAAAGTGACCCTATAATTAATACCCGGTAATATCATTGTTATGAAGCTTATAAAATAAAGAAACGACCTTCCTTTTAAACACACCCTGCCAGATGCTGCTGTACCAGGCACTGTGCCAGAACCATTGTCGGCCCAGCTCACTGACACCCAGAGACTCTCCCTTCAGGATATGGTCAACAGTTATAAAGAGCAAGAAAACTGTGAGACTCTGTCTAAGTGGAGAGGAGGTGAACGACCTGTCTATGGTAGGTCACTCTAATTGTTTGGTGCTGTACTGAAACTTATCTCCTCTTAATTAGATGTACCGTAGTAGACAGAAAATAAAATAATTATTAGTTAACTGATGGGAATGGGGGGGTAGGGGGGGGGGGTTGTTGCATGAAACTTGTATGGAGGGGGGGAATGTTTTTATGTGTTTGGTGTATTTCACATTTGATAATAATATAATTTGATGATGTTAAAAAAAATGTTACATTTCATAAGAAAAAGAAGTTGGTGCAGATATTTCAACATTATCTCCTCTTAATTAGATGTACCGTAGTAGACAGAAAATAAAATAATTATTAGTTAACTGATGGGAATGGGGGGGTAGGGGGGGGGGGTTGTTGCATGAAACTTGTATGGAGTGGAGGAATGTTTTTATGTGTTTGGTGTATTTCACATTTGATAATAATATAATTTGATGATGTTAAAAAAAATGTTACATTTCATAAGAAAAAGAAGTTGGTGCAGATATTTCAACACTAATGAGCAAGTGGACGAATCCTGTTTTCTTAAATTACAAGCAGGTGAGGTTTTTCAATTGTAGAATTATAAATGATGGCCTTCTGTCATTCAAAATTGGCTAAAAATAGATATGAAAACAATGTCATGTTGCTTTTTGTTTTGCAAAATTCATTGTCATATTTTTATATAATTCAAACTTAAATGTGTTTCTGATTCATATCTTAATCCAGCCGTCAGTGAATGCAGAGATTTGTCCCACAGGTCAGACAGCACGTTCTTGTTTCAACTCCCTTTCACCTGTCGAGATCACTAAACACATGTTAACTAATGTCAAGGTAATTTAACTTTACTTCTCTATTTCTATCCATGAACTTGATGCTAATCATTGATAATATTTATTTGAAAAATTAATTAAAATAATGAAAGGGCTATCAAAATACTACTTGCCCAAAAAAATAGTAAGGGTGCAAAAGTAGGGTGGGGATGTTTGGATTAAAAGTTTAATTTTTGCATATGTAATGTATTGTTGCCCCCCTAATTAATAATCAGTTTTGTTTTTTGTTAAATTAATATTTGTGATGTGCCGTCTACCTTTTTATATTTGTGTTGTGTGACTACCTTTATTTTATATATGTGTTGTACAGTCTACGGGTACCTTAATTTGTGATATACCAACTTTCTTTATATTTGTGATGTACCAACTACCTTTATATTTGTGATGTGCCGACTAATTTTATATTTGTGATGTACCGACTACAAATTAATTCAACTTTTCTGAACAAATTTGCCATATGGAATCAATCAATTACTCTCCTACTACTGATCCTCAATTTCCTTGTATTTATTTTCTTATATTTTACATATTTCCAAAACAGTTTTGTCAGTTACTATGTTATTGTTCACAGTAATATAAGTTCTATCCAGAAGATTACAGGAAGTAAAAGAATGTATGTATCATTTTGGTTTAGAAAAACCCAATTTCCGGCAATAACATAGCATTCATGCAAATAGCAAAATGTTTTCTATTTCTTGTTGTTTCTTCTTTTGTCCCATCTGCTGAAGAAAACTCTTATTCCCAACGTTCTCTTTTTATTGTCCCGTCTTTATTTTGCAAGCACATACCTGGAGCCACTATTTCCTTCACACAACTTGAGCGCACGCAATCACTTATTATCCTGCACAATTTTACAAAACTTAAAATAAAAAATTCAAATATTGTATTCTGAGTGCCACATTTTTTTATTTTTCATTTCTAATCCAGGTCATTGGACAAATAGATTGTAAATTCATCGCATGTTTGATTCAGAAGTCACACATAAGATCAAAAGGTACTAAACTATTGATGTTGACATGACTTGTCTAAGCATTCTAATTAATACTCAACACTTGCTTTGAATGGTTGATTTCTAATTTTAAATTAAAGTTAACCATTTTTCAGAGTCAACTCTGTTAGCAGACATTTTTATATGATGTTCCTGAACTAAGAATTCATTTACCGTTAAAAACTTTTAAAAATTAAAGAAAAGTCATAAGCTTTATAAACAATGTTAAAGAAAAGCCATAAGCATTCCCAAAAACTCTGACTGAGAGAGTAAGATGAAATGGTAGGGGACATAACATGGGAGAGAATGTTTACATTTCAGTTTCTATTAATTCAGGTCAAGTTTGATTGCAGAACTGAAAATATTTTTGGCTAATAGGAAAATATTTGATTTTATTATTAAAGATTGTGCTTGGTTTTTTTTTTGTTGTAATTTTCATTCATCATAATGATTCTCTTATTTTCTACATCATGAACATTCTCTTATTTTGTACACCATTTAGCCACGAATTGCCACCAGAGTTTGCTGCTAATTTTGTTTGATCAACATGCGGTCCATGAGAGGATTCGTCTTGAACAATTTACTTGTGGTATAAAAAACTTGTTTGCATGCAATAAAGGTTTCAAATGTAAAAAAAAATCTATTCTGCTAGTTAAAATAAAATGAACTATCACTTTAGGCATTTTTAGAAGAATTGAGTTTTAGTGCTTGCATCATGATATGGAATCCAGCAGCCAAATACTCCATTTCCATGCATGTAACAAAATGTGGAGAAACTCAAAAGCTAGTTTCAATAAATTTGTATCGGTAGGCCTATAAATTTACAAATATTTGTTTCTGAAGTAGGCCTGTACATAAAATATTTATATTTGTATAAATAAAACATTTATATTTATCTCTTGTCACCAAAATAGAAACTTATGAAGTTTTGGATGGTGTGAGGAGTGACACAATAAAAAGATCAGACCTTAGCCCACCCCATCCACTTACAATGGACCTTGATGACCTGCGGCTTATGAAAGCTTTTAGCAAAGAGTTCAACAGAATTGGTCAGTACCTTTGGACTACAAATTTTCTATTTAAACTTGAGTTTATGAATTATTTTCCAAAACTGCTTTTTGTCAATCTGGTATAAATTATTTTTAAAACCTTCATATAGTTATTTGAATTATAAAAGTATTGTACTAAATATATGGGAATATTTATTCAACATTCAGGTGTCACATTTGTGAGAGATAGGACCTGTAGGAATGTCATCCATATTAGTTCAGCTCCTGTTTGCCTGATTGACAAAGATGCTGCTGACATCAAAAGAAAAGCTCAAAGCCTGCCAGAAAAAATTGAGGTAACACTGGAAATTATTTTTACATAATATTTTCTATGTAAATTAAATTATCCACACAGCTTATCAAACGTTTATTGAGATTTTTATTTTGCTGTTTTATACCCTACTATTAGATAATTTAGTCAGAAAAGTTATTTCAGAAAGGCTAGTTTGTCAGTTTAAATGCTGTTATAAATGACAAGAAAATTTTTGATATATCAATGCATTCTGCCAAGTCACCCAGTATATATTTATGAATGTTGAGCTTTCATATCATACTGTTCTTGCATGTTATGAAGTTCACAAAATACTGTTAATATATTTATTTTCAGCTGCTAATTAAAGAACATATACAGGTAACCATTTTTATTAATTGTTTAGTTTTTTCTTTGTATGTAACATGTACAGGTACACATTTTATTGGTTGGTTTGTACTTCATATGTAATCGTTTAATCAAACTTAGTAGGCCTACCAACTTGTAACATTTTTTGTGTATCTGTCTTGATGAATTAACTTAAATTCATCAGAATTTGTTCCAAAAAAAATTAACTATTGCTGTTCCTAGATTATTTTTTAAACAAACAATATTAAATTTAAATCCATACAAATTCAACCACATTCAATATTTAGTTAAATGAAAATGTTGAATACCATAATTATAATGTTATTATAATTATATTTTTCTATTTTGTTGTGATGTGATATTATTAAGAACAAATTCTATCTACAATTCCTAATTATGTTTTTTGTGTGTGTTATTTTACACTATTAGAAACATATCTTTCCATTACATTTCATATCTCTTGAAATTCATGATTTAAATAAACTATTCAGGAAATATTAATGGGACTTTTTTTTTCTTGCATTTTTAAAAAACTATATTTTTAGTTGATAAAATCAACCAATGGAGCATGCGGTCGTATGCCACTCACTATACATAAACGTCTATGTTCTCAAGCTTGTCATGGTAAGTATGCCACTCACCATACATACATTTCTTTGCTTTGGTTTTCATGGTAAGTATGCCACTCACCATACATAAACTTCTATGTTCTCAAGCTTGCAATGGTAAGGTATCAGAATTTGCTTTCCTGTTCATACTAACCTGTTAGCTGATCATACTAACATGTTAACTGGTCATACTAACCTGTTAGCTGGTCATACTAACCTGTTAGCATCAGCTGTATGACCTTGTATTTCTTTTAAGAATTCCAAACCTAAACAACCCATTGTTTACATCCTTGTCTAGGGGTTTTGTCCTTGTCTAAGGGTTTTAGGGGTTTCATCCTGGTCTAGGAGTTTTATCCTTGTCTTGGGGTATATAATGTATTTAGATGGACAAAATATAGAACAAGTTCTTAACTGTTGGAAATAATCCTTACCATACCTTTCATCTGCTTCAACAAGGAACTTTGTATTCATATTTTCATCTTGTGGAAGGTAAACACATGGATGTATTAATCCAATCAATCCAATGATGTTTAAAGTAAACCAATGGATGAATCTAATTAACCCATTGTTGTGGAAGGTAAACAAGTGGATGTATTAAACATAATTAATTACTATTCAAATTCAAGCTATTTTGGCAGTTGGGATTAATTCCAAGGTATTCTTATTTTCAGGTGCTGTCAAATTTGGAGACAAACTGACCTTAGAAGAGTGTGAAGACCTTGTGTCTGCTTTAAAATCTTGTGATCTCCCTTTTCAATGTGCACATGGTCGACCTTCTGTTACTCCACTTGTTGATGTCACGGCATTAGAGAAAGAGCTTTCTGAACAGGTTGGTAGCTTTGTTTGTTTGGTTGCTTTTAAAATAAAGTATTTTAACATGAACATAATTCTTAGTAATTGACAATTAAAACAGAAATTTGTTGAGAAATCATTAAAAAAAAAAAAAAAAAAAAAAAAAAACTACAGCAACTGCTGAAATTCAATGAAATAATATTATTAAGAAAATTACATAGCATTAAGATCATTTTTTTACTGGTTTTATATAAGTTGGTACCGATATCAGAAGAACTCAACCCACAAATGGGCTAATGAGTTTTATTTTTATTTTAGAGATTTTTTTTGTTGCTTTGTAGTATTATAACAACATAATTTCAGCTTGAGCAAAAAAAAACAACTGATTGCTCAAAAATCTTATGAAAATCATATCAATATCACTGATAACTAATAGTCATAATTTTTCAATTGACAGAGAGGATTCCCCAGACTGTCAAAAATATCTGCAAATATCTGCCATTGAGGATCATGCAAGAAAACTTGATAGAGTTGACAAAAAATTTTGTTTATAAGATAGCTTCTTTAATTGTTTTCAGCATGGGTAGTTTGAATAAATGCTTACCTCTGTATTGGCACTGAACTGTGTTAGAACATAATCATGTAACCTGATGGAGCATAATCATGTGACCTGATGGAACCAAATTATGTGACCTGATGAAACCTAATCATGTGACCTGATTGAAACTAATCTGTGACCTTGCGGAACCTTATCAAGTGACCTGATATAGCTTAATCATGTGACCTGATAGAACTTAATCATGTGAGCTGATAGAACTCAATCATGTGATCTGATAAAAACCAACATAAGTTTTTGGTGACAATGATGTGGATTATTGAGGTTTGCAATGAGAGAATGATAAACTTGTATGACTCATGAACACTTAGCCATGATTTAGTTTTGAGTTTTTCCATCTCAGTGAACTGACAAAGGCAGTCAGGGATCTACATATACTAAATCTACATGTCCCTTAGTCCTTGGACCGTTGGGGCGCCACAGATGACATGAAAACTATCCTTCTCCATTACTCTGTTTTCTGCAATTCGCACAGCATCACCTAGCTTTAGTCCCGTCCACTCTTTGATGTTATCTTCCCATCTTTTTCTCTGTCTTCCTCTTCTTCTCCCTCCTCTCATTGTGCCCTGCATGATTTCTTTGGCGAGCCCTTGTTTTCTTGTCACGTCACCATACCGTTCAAGTTTGCGCTTTTTTTTACAGTTCCCAGGAGGTCATCATACTGCCCTATTGCTTGACAAATTTTTTCTTTGACTTAGAGATATGGTCTCTATAGCAGATTCCAAGAATGCTTCTAAAACATCTCATCTCCATCGCCTTTATTTTTCTTTCAAGCTCTGCTGTTAATGTCCTGGACTCACAGGCATACAATAAAAATGGAGATTGATGCAGTCGGGGATGGCTCCCATGAAATCAGTGAACTGATAAAGGCAGTCTGAGATGGCTGCTAATATGCCCATGAAAATATAACATTTGCACATCAGCTGTCAACAGACACTAAAAAAAAAACCCTTCATAACAAATATTCTGCAAAAACACTTTTTTTCTTTAAAAATTTAGACTTTCTTCTTTACTGTTAAATTATTTGTATTTCTTCATTTTTGAAGCCAAAAAGCTAATTGGCTTTGAAAAAAGAAAATACCAAATCTGATAGTGATTCCTGATTTAAACTGTTGAATTTTGTAATAGTTTTTCATTTACTGTCATGAAATCAATTAATATTTGTCAAATTATGTTCAGTTCAAGTTGTTCCAATGTAAATAGTCCCTATACTTTCAAACTGTGATAATAAATGAATATACATTTCAAATAAAAGGTGTTTTCATTGTCATATTTTCAATATAAACTTGTACAAAAGCCCATTTGTTTATAAATCTTCCCACTTGAATTTTGGCAGAGTAAAATGTATGACCTGCCCTTATAAGCCAACCCTATAGTGGCGTAGGAAGAGTGGTGCGGAGGGGGTGGCACGTCTTTTCTTTATATCGAGGGGCCGACTTCAGGGAGGATAGCAAGAATTGCCCATCTGCCATCTGTGGGCAGCCCTTACCACAGCTACACCAATGCAAACCGATAAAATAATGTGCCGTAAAATCAATGCCTACAAAAAAGAATTTAAAAAATAAAAGTCCAAACTTTTAAAAATAGTTATTATGCAAGTGAAAAGAATTTTCCAATACTATTTTTATGTATAACAACACACATACTAATTGTATAAAGGAAACGTAATTGTTTTCTATAAAGGTATCAAAGCCTTGGGTAATTTGGCAGCATGCTGGAAACACTGGGCTGGTTCCCATTGGAGGAACCACGACTATCCAGGCTCTCTATGATGTATATATGGCTGGTCCACTTCTCCAGCATTAAACTTAAACAAAAACTCGTCCCGTCTCCCCCCATATACAGCGACGAGGCCATGTCAGGCAGTTCCGGCTCATACCAGCAAGAAGCCAGTATAGGAATTGTTCATTCGTGCCAAAAACAAACAGGGACTGGAACAACCTTCCAAAAGGAACAGTTGAGACGAAAACACTTGAATCATTTGCATCTATTGTCTCAGGCCTTCCAACCACCAGTTCATGATACCCTCACTGAGTAGCCCTTGCAACCAGAGGCGTAGCGAGGGTGTGTGTCGCCCGGGGACAAGATTCGCACCCGGCGACAAGATCCATTTTAAAGCGCCCCTTTTCCTTTTTTTTCCAACTCTCAAACCCATTATTTTCATCAATAAAATAATATCAAAGCACATTTAGGCCCCCCTAACTAACTGGCCCCCGGGGACATCTGTCCCCTCCTCGCTACGCCTCTGCTTGCAACCAGTGAAACATCCTCAGGCACAAAAACGTTGCAAATCCTGGGCCCTTAATACCGTTAAGAATTATTATAAAAATCATCTATGACCTGCTTATAAGCCGACCAACCCACTTATGCCCTGAAATATTTCCGCAAAAGAAGAGTCGGCTTATCAAATTAGTCTTAACCACTGGATTGGTTCCCAAGTTCAGGGTAAGTTTGGTCACTCTGTTTTCTTTACGCATTAAATGTTTCTCCTAATTTTTTTATTCCATCAAGGTTTATAGTAGGCCTATAAATAATGTTTAACTAACTATTTTTGGAAGCCACGGTCGGCAACAAGATTTAAACAAAATTATTTTGTTGTGTAATGCAGACTATGATTGTGAAAGATAGTGTTCTAAATTGAACACATTTTTAGCACATTGTGTACCTACAAATTAAGTGCTGTGTAAATATACTAAGGCTTCAACGCCATTTCAGTTAAGCCCATAAATAAAACGTTTTTAAAGTAAAACCAAGATAAAGGAATTGAAGATCTTAGTGCTAATAGTACTGGTACTTAAGTCACAAAATGCACATTTGAGATAATCAAGTTCAAATATTCTTTTCGTCCACAAAAATAAGTATTATTATATAATACAATACATGATCACTTTCATAGTTTGTCTTGTTTAATTAAGGGACATTGACTTAGGCACACTTTAATGTGTTCAGATTTCTGCAGTACACTTGGCTAAACCGGATAAGAAAATGATGTGATTGATTTTTCAGAAATGTGACTTAAGTACTTTTAGCACTAGGAGGGATTGTCAATTAGTCATTTCTCGCTTCCAATCCCAAATATTGGCATATCGGCGGAAGTAGCACATGTTTGCATGACGTCATACATTATCATTTTTGAAACGAAAGGAGAAAGAAGCTAACTATTATGTCATCAACGAGAGGGATAAAAGATGGATCATTTAGCACATTTGGAAGTATGAACGCGAGGGCGCTTGCAAAAACGGAGCCATGGTTGTCTCAGTGGACATAATCCACGTTTTCAAATATCCTATCCATCTGGTAGTAAATACACATTTCATGAAAGTACGAAAATAGTTTAAATAGTAATATTACATTAATTTTCAATAATTAAAGTAGGGCAGGACAATATTAATAATTATTATTTTATTATATAATATATATATTAATATATAAAATAAATCATAACTTTGAGTGAGACAATTATCAACTGAGTAAAGACTTCTAACTTTAAAGAGCACTTAACCAAAAAAATTATAAAACATTAAAATACAGAAAAGGGATGATTACTGGCCCATATTCTACTAATTACTAAACTATACTATAAATTATTAATTTATATAATTAATTGGGCTGGGCAACTTTCCATGTTTCATTCTGAATTCATATAGGCTTATTTGTATTGTGTAGGTGGAGCATGCTCCAACATAATAAGGGCCTACATAGGCTGGGCTACTATGACTATGGTTTTTAGGTTATTTAAACTTCATTTGGAACATCATTTGAATTGATTAGAACCCAACTTAATCTTCTGGTATTGAAAACTGTATAATATAAAACTACTTCTTTTCAAATATCTAAACTAATTATGATTGTTTTAATAACATTATTGAACACTGAGTTTATAGCTCTAGTTCTAGACTCCAGGCCCAGGCACTCAACTAGCAAAAATATGGTTGAATTAAACTATTAATATTCATAAATGACTTCTTCATACTTCGGTGGCAATGGGGGGGGGGGGGGGGGTACCAATTTTTTAAGGGGGGGCTTTAAATTTTTTTTTTTTCTAAAATTTTGTGATGGGGGGGGGGGGAAAAAAAA